GTACAAACCCTTTTCTTCGATCTTCCTTTGTGTCAAGTCATTTGGTTTTAAAATTTATACGTGTGTTTAATTTTGGTGTTTGTTCATGAATGGAATTTGGTTTTATGGTATCAATGGATTTTGTTTCTTCAGTTCCTTTTTTTCCTAAAATTTCCTAAAGATTGAACGCAAAATAAGAGGCTTGGTTTTATATATGATTCAGAGCTTTCAGATTGTACTTTGCGTTCAATCTTATTTGTTTTTAATCTGCCCTCTTTCATCGTTATTTTTAACTTGGGTTAATGAAATCACTCACCAGCAAATTGATTTGTTTTAATCAAAAGAAAATGAGGGTTAAATGTGAGTATCTCATGGATTTTTTATCAGCCAGAGGTCATACGTATGGCATGGGGAATAATGCATGTTGATCTTTTTTTCATACTTGAGTTTTGCCCCTAAGAAATCTATGAAATCATTTTTTAAAAACGTTTTCTCAATCGTTTACATCTCAAGGTGAGATATTTGTCAATTAAGTTTCTTTCAACTTTACTCTTTCATTCCGATCCTTGTTGTCGGTGATTCAGGTTGGCTAGATCATCAGGACCAGATTTTGAGTACATTCTTTTGATTTTCCTTCATTAATCTAATACTTTATTTTTTTCTTCTAGATTTAATTTTTGTTTTTCTTATTTACCTACCCCTAGATCAATAATAAATCAACTTAATTTCTCAATATTGTAATGGGATTTGAAACAACTATGGCATTAAACCCTTCTCTGGTTTTTTATGTTTTACTCCATATTTCATATGTGAAGTCTTTGAAATTTATGATACAAACTTCCCTACTATCATGCAGGTGCAATGTGTTTTCTCAATTATTTATTATACACATTTTATATAGATATCTTATGCTAATTGGCATCTTTTTTTAAGTTATGAATTTCTGCTTAATTGTGTCTTAAAGAGTTTGATATGTCCCAGTAATTTTATAGACTGCTAGCATAATCTATAAGGCTAACAAGATAGTTAAGATTGCAGTGAGCTTGGCACATTAACTTTGATAATTTTATGTGCCTGTAATTATTCTTCTTGCAAATAGACAACCATCTTTTTTAAGTCTAGAGTTCAAAATGAATAGTTAAATGCTCTATCTATGTTTAGTTTATTGGATTCTTGCAGACATTATTTGTTTAGACTTACATAACTTAGTATAGGGCTAAGTACTTCATTCATGTTTATCCTGCTAGGTTTAGTTGTACAGGGTTAAGTCTATAATATGATCTTTTGAAGGAATGAGGCACGACGTCCAGGCGTCTTTGCATTGGAACTGAAATATATCATGCAATTGTTAATTCATGAAAGATAATGATAAACTTGTGGAAAATGCACCATCTTTAGGGAAGAAATGAAACCACTTATATTATGCTTTCATTCACTTACATATAATATTTCGTTATGAACAATAATTTATATAGGGTTTTAATTGAGTTTTATGACTACTTCATTCGTCTATTCTAGATACATTCATCAGACACATACATAGAAGTAAATAGACTAAAATATTCTGAAATTTCAAATTACAAAATCCAACACTACTTAGAAACTTTTTTATCATGCCAATTTTTCTACATACTTTTCGAAAATGTTTAACCTTCAAAGATTTTATAAAAATATCTCTCACATCATCTTAAATTTTCACAAACTTCAATTTATCTTCTTTATTTATAATATACTCTGTAAGTTTAGGGTTCATGGAAGGACAATTTGGTTCTTTTATCCTTCAACAAAATTTGAACTCAATTATAGAAATTATTGGAGTAACGGAAGTACACTCTTTAATGTTATAAATAGTTTCAAGTTCGAAGTCTAGTTAAGTAGAGCTTCATAGGAAGACACTAATTTTTATGATGTTGTTTTATAAGATAAAAAATAATATTAAAACAATCTATTGTTGGTCATTTTCTTTAACTATCGAATTAAACTCTAATACTATTTTGTTAGGAGGAGATAGAAGCTTAGTTTCCAAAAGTGTACCAATGTGTGCCTAAGGCGCCAAGCGCACGTAGGTGTAGAGCAAAATGCTTTTGGATAAGTAGGTTTAGCACATAACGCGAAGCCCTCCCAAACACGTGCTTCGAGGGTTTTTCTATATAGGTACTAAGCACACGCTTATGTCACCTTAGGAATAAAGCTTTAAACAACAAAGAAGCCAAAGAAACAAAGTAAAAGGAGATGGTAAAGTGGAAGAAGAAGAAAGGATATATGAAGCAAAATAAACAAATAGACATGGTTATCAAAACCGGACCGGACCGGTTGATTCAACCGGTTGAACCATGAACCGGTGGCTGTCTGATCCAGTTACCTCACAAAACCGGTCTGGCAATGAACCAGCTGAAAACCGATAGAACCGGCTAAAAACCGGTAAAACCGCCAGTTCACTTTTTTCTTTTAAAAAAAATTAAACCAAACGATGTCGTTTGTTCAACGAGTCAAGTCAAATTCGAGTATTGCTGAGCTCAACTCGAACTCAAAAACTTTAAAAGTAAGTTCAACTCGACTCAAAAACTCACGAGCTAAAAATTATCAAGTTCAACTCGAACTCGAAATATAATATTAGAACTTGAACTCGAAAAGGCTCGAACTCAAAAAAAATTTTAGAAGTTCGATTGAAGCCTAAAATTGGAGCTCAATTGAAGCGAAAGAATAGTTCGCTCTGTGCTAACCGAAAGGCTCCATGATTTTGAATGTCAAATTACCTCTATTATTTATAGAAGTAAGTTGTGATGCTCTTCTATGTTTCTTAGCCATGTGATATTGTTTTGTTCTCATATTTTTACTCTTTAAACTTTTGGGATGTTCTTCTATGTTTCTTAGCCATGTGGGATTATTTTTAAAAAAAAAATTAAACCAAATGACATCATTTGTTATGATTTTTTAAGCCCCAATTTTATTTTTTTGATTATAGTTATATAATTATATTTATTATTTAATATGGTTTACCTTAAATATTATGTTATAGTTGATTTGAATCATTTTGTTTCACTTGATTTTATGGTTTTTAATTTATATATGTTATGACTTGTGATATTTTTATACCTTTTAATATTGTAAATTTAAAAAAAAGTGTTACATATATATTAATACTGCTTTGAATATTATGTAAAATTTAAAAAAAATATTATTTTATATAAAATACGGTTCAACTGCAGCTGAACCCGGTTGAACCAGTGAACTAATACCTTCACCGGTTCAATATTTGGTCCGGTTTTAAAAACATTGCAAATAGATTTATTAAACAAAAGTGATGTGTGAATACACGATCCACACTAATGGTAGTAGTTAAGGCATTGATCCAGACCAGGGACTACACACATTTCTTTGTTGTTTAATGCATGAATCAATGATGTGTAAATATACGAGCGACATTAATGACAAGAGTTAAGGAGTTGATCCATGCGAGGAGACTCTACACATTTCTTTGTTTTATAATGCATGAATTCAACTCTATATCATTAATAAACAAAAAGAGGAGGTCGTTATTTTGTAAAACTAAGCAAAGCTATTTGTATATAGTCTTGATTAAGCACGTCAACACTATTAGTTTGACCTAACAAGAAAAATCAGGGCTACAACAAACTCGTAACAAATTAACTTGTGGGACAAGCAATGAGTCTTGTGAATAATAGAAATATGTTTTGACTCTTGAGGAGAGAATAAACAATGGTGAAGGAATAAAATATGAAGAAGATTAATTGCTCCATGAGTGAACCAGTGGGTAATGAATGCGGATATAATCTAGAATTGACTTATAAACCTTTTAGTATAAAAAGTATACCTCGTCTATGAAAGACGCGCGCCTTCACCATGCGTCTTGCGCCTAAGCTCCGAGAACCATTACATCTCGGTGAGCATTACACCTTTTAAAACTAAGGATGAGAGAGAAATAATCTTATGGAAAATAAATAACCTTTAAAGAATAAATAAACTCACTTAAATAAAATGCTACATCACATACAACATTTTATATAAATGTTGTGACTATTAGTGTGTCATGTATGCTAGTTAAGTACATTCACACATGACTACTACATTAATCTATTTTAAATATATTCATTGAACTCAAACACATAATAATAAATAAATTAAAATATTTTAAAATTTTAAATTACAATATCCAACAATTTCTAAATTAAAAGGACAATTTTTTTTGTTATTTTATCTCATTAAAAATCTTGTTAATTTATGTCTTTGTCATGTAAAAATATAAGTAATAATTATTGTTCTTTCGTTTGGAATGTCCAAACATTGAGAATGACTAGAGAATCTAGGCTAGAGCAGGAAACTATTAGTTAGTTTGATTTGAATTAGGTAATGGATTAAAATTGTGGTTGTGATCGTATTTTTAGTTCTACTGAGTTTATTACGATTGTAGATATAGTGGGACTATTGTAGTGATTACATGTATTGTGATTATATAATAATAGTACCAGACTGCATCGCTACATCTATATAGCGAACGCTATTGCGATCACGGACCGTTATTTAAATCTCTAATTAGGTTAATTTGATAAAGTTTGCGATGATCATGTGTATTACAATCATATAATAATGGTATCGAACGCACCGCTACTGCTATATAGCAGTCTCTATGGCGGTTGTGAACCGTTATTTAAATCCCTAATTAAGTTAATTTGATAAGTTTTCGGTGATTACGGGTATTACAGTCATATAATAATGGTATTGGACAGCAGCGCTACCATTGTATAGCGAGAGCTATTGCGGTTGCGAACCATTATTTAAATATCTCATTTAATTTTATAAGTTTCTCGACGGAAGAACAAAATAAAATAAGAAAGAAAAAGAAAAATAAGAAGCTTTTAATGTAACAAATATCTGCTTTTATTTGCACATTAATCTCATTTATCCAGATATCATGCATATCTTATATTGTCACGTTGCACTTGTACTCAACCAGGTTGTTACTCAATTTCTAAGTCATTTTTTGGATTATTTGTTTGCAGGAAGTTGAGGCAAGAATGAAACGCCAAGGTCAAGGCAACAACCCCAATCCTTTTCAAACTGGAAACTTTTACTCTGATGGTGATGTTGGATCTGATCAACATAATGTGGTTCCTGATGGTCATACTTCCATGAGAAGGAATGGTCAAACCAGTTCTAATATCGATACTCAAAACCATGTGGGTTTTGCTCAATTCTTGGGTGATGACTTTTTGCTCTCGCCTCTCGGTGATCAGACTGTCACGACTCAAACATTTGAGACAAGTTTTAACCCTCTTCTGCAAAATAACAGCAGGAGCGCTGGTAATGACCCGATCGAACCGTCGTTAGGGGCCGATTCTGGTGTTCTCCAACATAGCTTTGATCTGAATGATGTGGAACATCCTGAAAGAACCCGTATTGATGCAAGTCAGGGAAATGGACCATACATAGGATCAGGTGGTGATAACATTCAAACCCTTGGTGGTTCTTCGAGTCCAGTCATGATTTATTCAGGAGTAGCTGGATATGTTATTGAAGAAAATATAAGCCCAGATGAACTTCCGGTTGAGGGTCAAAGAAGGCTTATATGCAAAAGAAAGGCGCCTGAATTGGCTTCAGGCTCTGCATGTCAAGCTCAGAATTCTCAACAGCCAATGACTATGGCCCAAAACAATGCCAGCATCAACAGCTTAACTGCAGCTAATAATGATCATTCAGGACTTGGGGCTACTTTGCCTACATCCTCTAACTCGTATCAATTTCCAAGTGAGGCTAGACAAGTATATAACTTTCAAAGCAATACCCGTCTGAGAACTGCAAATCAACCGGTTGCAACACCAACAAACCTGTGGACATGGAACTCGAGCAATTCTAGAGTACAACCAACTGGCCAACACCCCTTTACCCTTTCAATCTCAGCAACGGCGCTGATGCTAGTAAATTCAACCGTGCAGCCATTTGTCCAAGTCTCTAACTCGTCGCAAGCTCTGCAACATTATTGGAACGGAACAAACCTGTCATGGGTTGGTCCTTCTTCCGTCCCTCTTGATCAGGCTGTAAACGTGCCAGCAAACCTGAACTTGGTCAATGAGAATGTAAACGCCTCGTCTTCAAGAATCCAATCTGGTTCAAGCAGGCATCTACCGAATTCATCCATAAGATCCCCTATTCCAAATATGGCTGCACAATATGGACAAAGAGGGCTAGATATTGTCAATCCATCTGAGTCCTGGAGGCGAGGGAGTTTCTGTCCAATACTTCCTAGTGCTTCCCCTGATGCCAGGCCTGCCCAGGTTCCTCTGAGGTTAGGACCAAGAGCCGAGAGACAAGCTGGTCGTCATTCTGGAGTCCCACTATATACAGGTCAAAGGAGAAGACTGATATCTGAGGTATTGTTCCATAGACTACAATCCCCATAGCTATAGCTTCCATTATATAAATTTCTACAATACGATGTTTATGTGTCGTGCTTAAGTAGATTGTCTCTTATTACTGGCTGCCACTAAACTACCCTTCCTTTCTCATAACAGTTCCGCAACCGCAATGCCTTCGGACTTGTACGAATGCCTGCTGCCTTACGAGTTGAGGTAAGACTGAAGCTTTTCTTGTTTATTAACATCAATGTTTGAATATGAAGGATATCAATGCTACTATTATCAATGTTCAACACTGGTTTTGCACCAACATGGAATATATGGCAGGATGTAATGGTAATTGATGGTTCATATTTGTATGGCATGCCTGAGGTGCCTGATATTCTTGAGGATATGCGCCTCGATGTCGATAACATGTCATATGAGGTAATATTTAAATATTTTGAGTCCAATGGAAATTACTCGTGGTTTTAAAAGCTCCTGTCGTTTATTTTATAGGAACTGCTGGAACTGGAGGAGCAAATTGGGAATGTTTGCACTGGTCTAAGCGAGGAAACTATTCTAGCCAATCTGACAAGTCGAAAATATCAGTCCGGACCACCAGAAGAAATTGAACCTTGCTGTATCTGTCAGGTATATTTCTTCTTACTCCATGAATAATAATGGCCTATGCACAGATGGGTTAAAATTAATTTCTATTTCATGTTCATGGAAACCGTTCACAGGAGGATTATGCTGAGGGAGAAGAGCTTGGTAAGCTGGGCTGTGGTCATGAGTTTCACTTCAATTGCATTAAGCAATGGCTTATGCAGAAGAATTCATGCCCCATTTGCAAAAATACAGCTTTGGCTGTTTGATTGTCTCCATTTAATCCCTGAAAAACCATGTGTTGCTGAATTTTTGGACCTGCTTCTCACCTCAGAACTTTCATACACATTTTTCATTTACATTTTCCTTTCGTTTCGGAGATTCTCATTGGATGCCACAGAAAACAGCAATTCAGTAGAATCCCTATGCTTTGTCTCTTAATGAAACGAGAAGCTGAAGGTTTTTAGATTTAACCAAAACAAAGTATGAAGATTATGGTTTTCATTAGTTTTCATTAGTTTCTTTGTATTTATTGCTGGTGGCGGGTTCAGATTCAACTCTTAATTCCCGACCACATATTATATATCATCATCCATGATCAATCATCATTGGATGATATAAAACGTAGGTCTGGACAATGAATCCATTCTACTTAGGATTAGGAAGACAGTGATCGGTTCAATTTTGGTCGTTTTGGAGTATCCCTAGCTTTTCTCTAGTACAAGTGTTTACCCTAACCTTAGGCTGAAATTAGAGATTTTCTAACCTATATAATTTGCTTCTCTTTTTTGTTTTTTGATAAGTATAACTAATTTATTTTTCGTTACATTCAGTTCTTTCACTGGAAATAAATTTTAGAAAATTGTTTTTAAAGTGGTTATATCTAGAAATATTTTTTAAAAATATTTTATATTGTTTCAATTATATTATATAAATAATTATTTATTATTTGATAAAACTTTTATATATGATATTGTATAAATCATTTTTCTAATATTTGATATATTTTTCAGATATAATTTATTGTAAATTTTAAATAAAATAAATAGTATTACCCGATATCTAACTAAATTATTGTAATATTTTAAAAATAATAATATTAACTTATTTAAGTCGGTGTATGCTAGTTTGATATTACATTTGAAAAGTGCGGTAAAAATATTTTTAAAAATATTTTTGAAAGTGAAATTTAAAATTAATTGTTTGAAATTGCTATTAAAAATGATTCTAAAAAGATAAAATATTCATTTTAGATATTATGTCACAAATTTAAAATATAATATTTAAATTATATTTACACTTATTAATACTATGATATTTAAAATATATCACCTTAAACTATAATAAAAAATATATAATTTTTTTTTGTGATAACTCATTCATAATAGTTTTATATAAATTTTATGATAACTCATTAATAATATAAAAAGGGTAAATTATACCATTGATGACCAAACTATGTAACCCTTTTACTTATGTCACCGATCTTTCAATTTCATCAATCAGACCACCTAACTATTTAAATTATGTCAATCTAGCCACTAACTGTTAACTTTCGATAGAAATGATGTGACAATTAACAAAATGATATATTTATACATTTCATTTATCCTCAATACTTTACATTCTATCAAATTGGTCATAAATTTAATTTAATTCAATAAATTTAATCCACTAATTAGGTTACATGTATCACCATTAGATTAAATGTTTTTCTTTAATTTATATTTATTTAATTTATATATTTATCTTCCGACCAGATGATAACACAAGTCACCATCTGGATAAAGGGCAAAATAGCAAAGGGCATAGGAGGATTTGAACCTAAGTCCCTAGGATGGGATGCATGTGTGCCACATAACTACGACAAGCTCATGTTTGTGAGATGATTTACACGTCCTTTTATATATTTTTATTAATTTCAAAAAAAATATTTCTTTATATATTATAAAAATAAATTTAATAAATTTAATTTTCATATTCATAATTCAAGGATTATATATAATTTTAAATTGAATATTTTTAATGTAGTTAATAATTTTATTTCATTAAAAATAAATTTTATAAATCATTTATTTTTAATTAGTTTTTTATAAGACCAGATAGTTCAAAATGCGAAATTTAAGTTATATAAAATATTTAAAATCAACTTTAAATTACACATTTTAAACTACACAATTTAATTAAAAAATTAATTAAAATATAAATGATTATAAAATCTTAACTAAATTAAAAAATCAATTTAGAATTATATAATCAATTTAAGTTATATTGCTTTTCTTTTTCTAAAATTAATGAAAATATATAAAGCTCGTGAAAACCATAACACAAACATGAACTTGGTGCAGCGGCCTGGCACACGTTTATCCCTTCCCAGTTACCCAGGTTTGATTCCTCCTATTCCCATTGTTGTTCTGCCCTTCATTTGTTGTTTGATTTTCTTTCACCAAGATAAACATATTAATTAAATAAATATAAATTATATAAAAACATTTAATCTAATGGTGACACATGTCACCATTTAATTGGTGGATTAAATTTATTGAATTAAATTTAAATTTAGGACCAAATTGATAGAATATATAAGTATTGAGGATGAAATTTATAATTATACCAATTTCGTTAACTGCCACATCAACATTTCAGTTAACGGTTAGTGGGTTGATTGAAATAATTTAAATAGCTAGGTGGTCTTATTGACAAAATTAAAAGATCGGTGGCAAAAGTAAAAGGGTTACATAATTTGGTAGTCACTAATATAGTTTACTCTATAAAATAATTGTATACTCAACATAAATACTATGAAAATACATTATTTTATATTCAATGAACATAAATTTTTTTTAAAGCTCTATCAATTTTGTCTAGCAATTAATTTAAACATTAATTAAAAATAAATAATAAATAATTATATATGGATGTGTATTAATTTAAAAACGATTAAAATTAAATAATTAAGGATAAAAATATAATTTCATCCCAAAAGTGATTTTCAATAGCAAAAACTATAAATTTAAGCTTTTGAGATTGAAAATAATGTTTCAACTACGATTTTAAATAAATTTGTTGGTGTTTAACATTGCTTACGGGGTGAAAAATGTAACAAGCCAAAATCAAAATTATTAGAATATTACATTATATTATAGACTAACCATTTTTTTCCTTTTAAAATTAGTTAACATTGTAAATTATTCATCAAATAAAATCATAATGTAACCATATGTTTAAAACATACATTCGTATCGTTTACAAAATATGAGCTTCAAATATTATATCTCAAAAAACAAGGGTTATAAAAATAGAGTTTACGCCTTGAAATACACCAAGAGTCTATGAAAGTACATGACCATTAAATACACAGCTTGATGATGAGCTCCTTGAACTGGCACATACGAACTTACGAACGGAAAAACATTCCCAACACTGAACTCACAAGGTTAATGTCACACTAATAACACTACTATACTACATGCATTCAACCAATGAGCATGGTACAAGTCCAGTTATGAACAAAAAAGTAAATTAAATACACAACACGAGTAAGCATCATGGTGTAGTTCAACGTCGCATCAGCATTAAGAAACTCATACCCCTTTTTGCTTACAAAAAGTACCCTTGGTATGATCTGGGTCACATATCATCAACATCTTACACCCTCATGTCACACACTGTCAAGTACCATAGGCGAGGCCTAGATCATAGCATCAACACCGTGCTGGCTAGTTTTCTCCTCTTGTGTACACAGGACGTGTCTAGATCAAGGAGCATTAGAACGACGTCCAACTAGCGTATTAAATTCCCTTACACTTGATATGGATATATCCAAATAATACTCACTCAACTAGATGATCAGCTTACACAAGTAACCTAGTTGTTCTCATCATTTCCCAAGCTTTAAACAAAACATAAGTCTTAAAGAATCTTACATTATAATGATCTTATGTTATCACACAATTATTAGTTTTCTCACTTGCAAGCTTTTATTAAGAGATTCCCATCGATCCTAACCTCTTCATAGGTCCCTTAATCAAAGCAAGGCTTATGACATTCACTTTCACGATGGTACTGATACTCAGCCTTATAGTGTTTGTACTACTTTCTGTTATGGTATTGATATTGCCTCGAGTTTCGATACCAAATTGGCACACTGGAATTTAAGACAACCCTCAATATCAATACTCCTACCTATAATATCGATATTATCCTCTTGTGGTATCGATACTACCTTGATTATTCATATCCAAATTACATTCAATGCTTATATAACTACCCTAGTATCAATACCCCTTCCCAGAGTATCGATACTCATTCACTATCGGTACCAATTTTGGTTATCGAAATTTAAAATTGTCTACTAGTATCGATACTAAGTCCCAAGTATCGATACCCTATGAACAATATCGATATCCCAAGAATAAGGTACGAATTCTACATTAACAATGTTAGAGTATGCCCAAAGACCAATCATGAGATGATTGTAATGATACATTTTATTTGCCAGTTTTATTGAATAAAGGCATAGTCATTATTGATTTCAGTTTTACTTCTATGTCTCAAATAAATTGAAAATAATAAAGTCCATATAATAATGTGATTATTATTAAATATCCTTAGTCGAGAATTATTATGGGCATGGACAATAATAATACGTTTGAGGCTATCATGGAGTAGATTTATGATAACGAGTTGTCACTGACATGGAGATGTCAAAATCAATACATGAGTATATTGTTAGACAACAATATATTGGATTGACCCACTATGAGCACATGTCTTGGATTATTATGTGATGGTCACAACATTGCTCATGATGATGTATGTATGATCCTCAGACTTGAGATCATTGCTATCTCAATATATATTGCTATATATTTTGATATAGTTAAACATGCTCTGTAACTAGTTGCACTATAAAGACTGATATTGAACATATCACGATATATGTAGTGGTGTGTGAATGATCAAGATAAAATTTGTCCTTCTTACATAATAGAAATAAATCACATGCCACTTGATTGAGTGGGACTAAAATGTATGGCCATGCTCAAATAAGTTAATATGAGATATCACAAATTATTCAAGCATTATAGTCTACTCTAGATGCCAAGAAACAACAGATGGGTTATGCAAGTTTGACTGTTCCAAGACTTGTGCTTATTCTAGATATAAATAAGAAAATGATATAATACATAAAAAGAGTTAGTCACGAAGATGTTATGTTAAATCATGACTTCCTGTAACTTAGGTGACAATGATATATAGCTAGATG